TTTTCATTTGATTTTGAGATAGGCACCTAAAATGAGAGAGACGCGACATAATTTGTGCTTTAAGAAATATAAATAGTAATAGTAATTCCCTAACACTTTCTAAAAATCTTTTTTGTTGATTAATACTTCTGTAAGGTTGGAGACGAGGATAGCGGAAAAGTTGTATCACTCGAGAGTAGTTATTTATCAAGTAAAAAAAAATAAATAAACAGTTAGATAATGGAATGAGATGTGAACAATCTCAAATGTGCGAAAGAGCACCAAAAAAATTATTTAGAATGTCTAATCTAAAAATTGATCATTGTAGGTACACTTAACATTTGCTAAACAACGCGAAAGTAAAGTTCAAAAAATTACAAGAAAATAAAAAACCCAATACAGCATAACCTCAATAATCACTTCGATGGGAATGGCAATGGAGTGAGTAGGCAATTCCCGTCCCCGCTCCTCGAGTATTTTTGTTATTTTGTACATTCGTTTTACCCTGTTAAGGCGAGGCAGGACAAGGTAGGGAAGGCCATTGTCTCATTTATTTTATTTATTTGTTTATTAATTTGGTTTCATGTTTTATGTTTTTAATTAGTGAAAATCATTAACTTTTTTTTTTTCGAATTTGTTAAGAGCAATCCATGTTTCCTTTAGAAAGAATGATAATTCTTGTATTTTTGTTTCATAAAAAATTTAAATTTGAAATGAACTTTAAATTGGGTCGAGTATCGGGAAACAAGTTTTTCGTATCCGTCTCGTCCCCGATTTGGGATAATAACCCCTTCCCCACTCCTTTTATCCTATTAGACGTGTAATTTTGGGGTATTACGATATCGAATTTAACGATTTTTTTTTTTTTTGCTATCCTAAGTGAAAGTTCTTATTAGATCAAATGCCACCCATTCAATAGTTGGAGATTATTATTCTAATATCTTCGTAATGATTACTGGACTCCAAGTCTAATGCACTGACTTAAAGTCAAGATTGTAATTACATCTTTGAGTTACGTAGAATCAATATATTAATTATCTTTATAATTCTTTCAGTATAATTTTCAAATTTCAAGAATCACTACTTTATTACAGTTGAAGGACTAATATTCTTATACTCAACCTTCCATTAATTAGTAGGTCTCATCCTTGATGATTTATACCAAAATATTTTATTTTCATACTTTGAAATGAGGCAAAAATATTTTTCTCTCTTTTTATTTTTTAAAAATATGACGAGAAAATAAGTTGTTTTAAATCATTTCAACGGAATTTTGAGCATAAAAACTGTTATCAAATACAAAATGTATTAACTAATGGCAAGTTTGAGAATAAGAAGGGATATAAGTGTTATATTGAGTAAAGATTAAGAATCTTAAGTGCAATTAAAATGTTATGTAAGAAATAAAATAGTGATGTGAATATAATTACCAATTTGTTGTTCATGTATTTATTTTCTAAATATTAAAAATCAAGTATTTCATGTAGTGCTTATTTCTAAGATCCTCTTTTTAAGTGTGGATCGACTGCGACGCTAAGGTTTTGCTAGGCTTGGATTGTAGATTTAGGGTCCGTTCGATTGCACATGTGGAAAATGGGTGAAAAGAAAATGTTTTACAGGGAATTGATTCGCTTAGAAATTGTTTTATTGGTATAATTTTTCATGGAAAAATGTTGAAAGTTTGGTGTCCGTTTGGCTGCGTTTTTTTATGAAAATTGTCTATTAAAGTGATAATTTTTCTACCATTGGGTCTAGAATTTGTTCCAATTGCCCAAAAAAAATTGAAAAAAAAATTACCATACCGAATACCATTCGTTTGACTTTGTTTTATATGGAAATTGTCAATAAAAGTGATAATTTTTTTTACCATTATATCTAGAATTTTTTTCTATTGCCAAAAAAAAAAAAAAAAAAAAAAAAAAAAAAAACAAAAAAAAAAAACCAATTGCCCAAAAAAAATTGAAAAAAAAATTACCATACCGAATACCATTCGTTTGACTTTGTTTTATATGGAAATTGTCAATAAAAGTGATAAATTTTTTTACCATTGTATCTAGAATTTTTTCGAATTACCCGAAAAAAAAATGGAAAATATTTACCAACCAAAATATCAAGAATTTGTTTTCCTCAAAAAAGTGGAATTTTTGGAAAGTTGGAAAACATTTTTCCGGGAAAATTTTGCCTATCAAACACTACAAAAGTTGGAAAATGGAAAAAAAATTTACATGGAAAGTATGGTGTATCAAACGGGGCCTTAGGGTTTTTATGTTGACCGAGTTCTTGTTTTGTGCATCTAGTAGGGATGGAGGAGTTGGTGGTGGTCAATTTTTTGGAATTGTGGTGAATTTTGGGACTAGATATGGTGGAGAGTGGAGGCAAGGAGTTAGTGGTGATGGAGGTGGTGGCGAGATTCGATTGCAAATTCGTAATGTTCAAAATGGTGATTTGTGGGGGGTTTTGATTTCACTTGACGATTTGTGATGATTTTTGGTAGAAGGTAGTGGTGAAGAGTGTTGCAAATATGATCACTTGGGAAGGTCGTGACAGCGACGAGATGGTGGTGGGGCATGATTTAATAAATTATTGTACAAAAAATTAAACTTTTTTGAATGGATTGGCATTATTGGTTAGTGGTGATGGTGAGATGGTGGTGTAACAATGTCAAGTTATAATTTTAAAGAAATTCCATGCACTTAGCAATAACATCTAATAAGTTACAATTTAAATTAACATGATTTGAATTGTAAATTAACATAGAATTGGGAAGGTAGTGGCGTTGATGACATCGATGGTCGTCATCTTATAATCAAAATGATCTAAAACAACTTTTATAAAACTATGCACGATATTTATTTATAAATCTTGCTATAGATTCTATTAATCTTCTTTTTTTATTATATCACAATGTGTAATTATTTATCAATTATATAAACATTACATCATTAGTTATTTAATTAACCAAAAAAATTACATCTTTATTAATAAAAAATTAATTCTTAACCTAAAAAAATTATATACAAACTAAGCAAACGTGCATTGCACGTTGCTTACACCTA